TTTGGTGGATGTTTATGGTGCACATGCTCTAGATCAGCAAATGTGCCAAAAGTGACTAGCAGTATTTAACATAAAAGTGCTGATTTTAGTTTGGAAGCGTTTTATGGGGAACGCTTTCGAGAACAACTCATCAAACTTTTGCAAGCGATTGCTGGAAAACGCCCCAAATTTGCGACTAGACATTTAAAATTAAGAAAAATCGTTAACTTCGGTTGCATTCATTGTATTGTACCGTTGCCTTAAACAATAATCTGTGCCAAATTCCGTGAAGAGCTCTCGTCAAAAAGATTTCTAAAGAATCATCTTTAATCTTTAAGTTTGTATGTTACCCACATATTATATAATATATAATATAATATATACTTGACATGCATGGTATCCGATGTTTCTTTCTGGGTATTATAAACTTAATGGCAGGTTCCCCTTTTTTAAAATCTGTATTGAAATGACCAGTTCAGATGGTAGATGAAAACCGCCAAAAATCTATGATATTTTCTACAATATTTTTGGATTTACTTGAATATAAATTGATGCAATTACAAGTTTTCTGTTATTATCAAGTTGACAAATAGTTTAAATACATACTTACATCTCTCACATTTTTTATTTCGACTTAACTTCAGAAAAAATGACATGCTGGCAACAAAAATTATATTCATAGTAAAAAAATTACAAAAACATTTCCATTCTTTAGCGCAAGCGCTGAGCAACAAAGCAAATATATTCAAACGATTGGCATCCTAACAAAAATCATAAAATCATCAATATTCATGGTTACGATCAACTAAGCCAGAAAAGTAAATATATAAATTAAATATGCGAAAAAACAAACCTTTGTTGACCAGGACTCGAACCCAAGCATAGTTCAAACCATTAATAAGTACCTACCACTCCCATTATATTACGTTCTAAATTTTTCGGCTTTTGGATGTTGTTGTTGTTCTTATGATGTTTATTTGTATAATTTACATACAATTGTATAAAGTTTGTCAGTCATTCGTGCAAGTTTGTGTGCTTGTGATTGCGCATATGGTGATGCGTACAGACAAATGTGAGCTGCCTTCGATTCGCCATTTCTTTGCGCGCACCTCTCTTGTCAAAAAAATTACGTGTAAAAGCAACAAAAAGGTTATCGAGTTAAAGTTGTACGAGAGAATATACCTCATTGAAATGGTAAAACCGCTATCTTCAATACAAACAAGTTTCATTATTCATAAAGTTCATACATACTTAGTTTTACCATTGTGAATCGCTCAAATGACAAATTATTCTCAAAATTAAAAGTACACAGATTTTTTGTTTTAATTTTTAAAAACTTAAGGCTAAATAAATTATAATTGTTCATAGGAAAAAACTAAGGTTTTACTATGCTTCATTGAAATGGTATAACCGCTATCTTCAATGCAAACAAGTTTTATTATTCATATAGTTCACACATACTTAGTTTTACCATGAATCGCTCAAATGAAAATTAAAAGTACACAGATTTTTTGTTTTAATTTTAAAAACTTAAGGCTAAATAAACTATAATTGTTCATAGGAAAAAACTAAGGTTTTACTAAAACGTTTTTCGGCGCAGAAAGAAGAATTGCTCCATCAAAGATAGGATTACAACGCATGCGTCATAAGACATGTTAACGCAGGATTGGACCGCAAGTGGTACCCGTTTATTTGAACATCGAGTATAGCTTTTTCGATTCGAACCAACGCTTGGCGAATCGAAGACAGCTGTATTTACATATGCATACATATGTATGTAAATATTAAAAACTGTAATGCAACATGAGGCAACTGGATTAGAAAATTTAAGCCGCTAGATAAAAAGTTTGACTTTTACAACAATAGTTGCATACACACAGCAGCACTTAGAAATAATACATAAGATAAAGACATTATAATTTTTATTTTTCAAAAGTGCTTATGAATATTTTTTCAATAAAGTAAGCATAATACGGATATTTATGAGAAGAGTTACACGGCAATATCTGTGAGCACTTTGTTTGTTTTATTTGTTAAATCTACTTTCATTTCTTATTGATTTTATTTGTATCATTCTTATACTATTCTCATAGCAATAGCCATAGAAAATGGGCACTATGGAACAATAGCACATGTAGATAATACGGTGGGCTCAATGAACAGTGAATCACCACTAATTGGTTCTCATTCCAGTGGTAATGTAGCATTACCATCTGGAATACTACCTATTGCAATTTTAACTGGAAATACTGCTATGAACAATGACGATGGAGCACATGATGGTAGTACAATTCATTCAATGGAAAATAGAACGACCATAACCACATCATTATTAAACAGAGGTGAAAGTGCCAAAAATGGCGATCTCAGCAATATCATGACACAAGTATCAACAATGGCTGTATCGTCTAATGCTCAACAACAAAAGCATTTAGTAAATGTTCTTGAAAAACACAATAGAAATGATATAAGCGCTAATGTTACTAGGTCTCCTGATTCGCATTCAAATACGAATGAACAAGGTTGTGAACATCATCGCCAGTACATTCAACAGCAGATTTTACAATCCAGTGCAATAAATTCACCTCTTATACTGCTTCAGCCAAGTACCCAAATAAGAGATACCACAAGCCGTGATTCCATAAATGATAACCCTGCGGAATATTCCACGATTTTGCCAAGTTTTAACCATTATTCGGCAGGCAAGTCCTTCACTAAGTTGAGTCAATATGCACCTGTATATAAGAAAATGTGCCATACGTTCAGTAATTTGTACTCAATTTACGATAGAAATCAATACGCAATATCGAACATATTAGTCACCAATATATTTCGTCGACATTACAATATGCACTTCTAACGATTACCTCCCATTACTTTTAAGACACTCTATAATTATTAAAGTGCACATTTATGTACTAAACAACAATTTATAAACAAAATAAATACTTGATATATGTAGGTAATCAAATTTTTTTCTACCAAATTACACTAATCTATCGTAACGAAATCGGTGCCAAGTTCAGCGAACTTGAATGAAATATAATATTAAGCTAACTAAACTACCTACATACAAGTATTAACAAGTAAACGATGGGCTTTTTTCAAAAATGGCTAATAGGATGTGTTTGCTAAAGTAATGATATAGTATACATATACGTTCAAGAAAATTTAATTATATTTTAAAGTTTTTTCATAAACGAATAGAATGTTTACTATTGTGCAAGGTCAAGTACAAAAATAGTCTTGTACAAAAGTGCAAATGCACTTTGTATTTAATGAAATTAGCATATATTTTATCTTAAAACATTTTGGAGTACACTTTACAACAAGGTTAAAAATTTATACTACGATTACTTCTATTATTTAATTTATCTATTTGATTACTTATATATTATATCATAGGCACATTATTATGTATTGGTTTCCAAAACCAAGTAATTTACTGCAATCCCACCCTGCCTGGCATTAATATTTAATCTCTGTGACTGAATACTATGTTAACATAATCTTTCTAGGCTGGTTGAGATTTTAATTGAAAACTTGTATCTGTATTTTAATAATATGCTAGCCACTGTGATGTTAATAATTAACTCAAATCAGGAGCTTATTAGTAATTTCAAATTAAGAAATAACAAGGTGCGTTCCAAAGTAAACAGTAAAAAAGTAAACTCTAGTGGCGCCATCTATATCTGTCGACTAGTGCGTTAGAATCTGCTATCCTTTATCGACTTCCAGTAAAATTTCGTGACATTTCATCTATTAGAAGTGAAGTTATTGCGTTTTAAGTGTCAGTATGTTTTTGTCATCCGTGCGAGAATGAGCTTCGAACAAAGAACCAACATTAAATTTATGGCGATGATTGCCTATCCCGTAGCAGAGTGCACGAGTGGTTTCAACGTGGTCGTGAGGACATAAATGAGAAATGAGCCGAAACCCAAAAAATCGCGCCTGGAGAAGTCAAAAGTGAAGACAATGCTGATTTGTTTTTATGATTCCAAGGGTATTGTCCACAAAGAATTTGTTCCACCCGGCCAAAACGTTAATGCGGTATTCTACTTTGGAGTTTTGAAGCGTTTGGTGCGCCGTATTCGACGAGTTCGGCCCCAATATCGCGAAGATAGAAGTTGGCGTTTGTTGCACGATAATGCGCCGTCTCATCGATCGACGCTTGTGGCCGATTATTTGACCAAAAATCACATTTTAACAATCAACCACTCCCCGTATTCACCTGATATGGCACCGTGCGACTTCTACCTTTTCGGAAAAATGAATTTGCCGATGAAAGGAAAGCGTTATGCAGACGTGGAGCCCATTCAAAAGGCTTGCACCGGCATACTGGCGGCCATACCGGGCAACGAGCTAAAACACTCGTTCGACATGTTTTTGGACCGTGAAAAAAGCTGTATTAAAGCAGAAGGAGACTATTTTGAATAAAATAAATGATTTTGCCGATAAAACCATTTTTTCTGTCTTTTTTTTTTAAAGTCCTGTTTACTTTGGAACGCACCTTGTACATAGTTAAATAAATACAAAATATCGAAACATCACTTTTAATTAACCAAAGTTCAGACTTCCGCTAATTTATCTTCTAATTTAAAAAATGTGGCCATTATTTAATAGAAGTTTCGTCTGGCTGTTATGAAAGTTATTAAACCTAAAAATAAAAATACCTAAACTTTTTTGCAACAATTATAAAACAATAATAAAGTCAGACTAAAACTTATCGAAATTAAGGCACAAGAGAACTATAATTAAAATTACTGACTTTTATACAATTTTGAACAAATAAAATATTTAAGTAAAATATTAACTACACTGCAAACGTTTACTTAGCTAAGTATATGTAGTCCACCATGATTTTGCACACAACGATTTGATTGTAATCGTTAACATAATAAAATTTTCACTTAGAACATTTAATTTGTGTACTGCGGTCAACGGGAGAAGTTGGATTTAAATATGAGAAAGTGGAACGGAATTAATATTTTTCTTCACCAGTATATTCTTTTTCCTTATAGCAGCTTGCGGGTCCGTTGTGCCTACCACAGACTACACCTATAATCCGGCATATTCTCAGTATGGATCAGCGTATGGGTCTTATGGATATACAGCAGGCACTGGTCTCCTAAGTAAGTTCAACAAATTTAAACTATTTCATGTTTGAAATAGTTAAACTTTGTCTAACATCAAATATTTAAATTTATACCGTAATAATTGCCCACTATTTCAAAGAACTGTTAGTCCTATGAACATTAATAAGATTTTGCTCAAGGTGAATATGAAAAGCTAAAAAAATGCCATCTGATGTTAGTATCAAACTGTGGAAGAAAATGCTAAAAAAATATAATAGATTTCTACGTTTTGAATCTTTAAATATATAATAAATTTATGTACAATTAAAACTTTTTTTCTATTCACCACCTCTTTCTCTCCCAAAAGATTCTTCTTACTACTATGATGGGAGTCAAAGTCAAACAACAGGCGCATTAAATCAAGATATGCGATCGCCTTTGGCAGCCACCCGTGCTAACTCTTTGGCATCTGCTGCATCGCCGACTGGAAGTGCCTGCACGAAATCGGAAACATCAGACATATTTTTGGTATAGTAACTTAAGAAATGTAAAAAATGGAAACTAAAACACCACACATATAATCGAAAATAATAATTGTAGCAATAATACTAACTTTAACTTATATTTAAGATTATAGAAGGAACATTTAAATTACAATCACGAACTTAAATGTATCCTGTTGTATTTTTGCATCCCCGCAAATATATTAAGAAGACCTAAAATCTAATATTACCTTCGGCAATGTCAAATAAGGATAGTATCTTTCAAAGCGTACGAGTAGAAGTTCCGCCAAATAACCTAAAAGCTCCCTTACTAATCCATATGTACGGCAGCTGCTAACTCTACTGTGTATAAAAAAGGAGGCCCGTTAAAAAAGGAGGTATTTTCATATGCATACATATACTTAAACTACTTCATGAGGTAAATGTATTTAACACCTATAGATAATTTCATCAGTAGACAGAGTCCTTGAAGTAGTGTTACTTAATTCTACAAAAATTATCTACTACTCTAAATACGTAGGATGTCATTACCGAGTTTGCTTAAAAAGTCAATTGTAAACTTTTGTACAAATACCAAACACGTTTTTAATATAAGTTAATATAAGAATGAGTTCGACATTTCATAGTATAATTGTGCCTAGCACACTTCGTATCATTACACTATATCATCGTTATTTACGCAGCACAAATCTGCAACGCACGGAACTGCGATGAGGCAAATATACCCTGCGCGATAAAATATATGACCATTAATGCTATTGTTTAGATAATTTAGAGATAATAAAAAAGGACAGAGTTCTTTAGGAGTTGCTTTACATACATATGAAGATATATTATCTCTGTTTCTCTTTGTCGACCACTGACGTAAAATGAGAAAAATACTCTCGAGTATTCAGGAATTTAAATATATTATATATATATAAAATAGGGAAATTCAACAGCGAATTAAGGGGTTACATGGGTTTTTTTTGGAAAAAGGTCTGCCAAAATTCCAATTAGAACTTTTTTGTTTTTCCTTCGCTCAAGTACGAGTTTATGGTCTTAACTAAAACACATAAATGATCCTGTCAGGAGTTATGCTGACAACGCGGACGCACCTTTTCTTCGAGAGGTCACCGGAAATGAAAAATTATTCTTTAAATGTGTATATTTAAGACAGAAAAAGATTTGAATTAAATAAATAATTTTTTATATAAAAAAAAATATTGAAAATAGGCCGTTTTTTACCCGACGAAACCCATGTAACCCCTTAATACTTGTATAACAGTTTGTCATTTTGTCAATTTAGAAAAGTAATTGTTGGTATTGAATCGTGCTATGTGTACGAAATCTAGCTTCTACATAATTACAAATTACATTTACATAAATACATTATACCTGTTTTCTATTAGTACAAGTGCCCGTTAAGTTTTTCGTGATTGGTTAACGACTTAAATCAATTTTTTATTTCAATTATCTCGACCTCAGTTCAATTATATCCCCTAAAATTATTCAATATAGTTCAATTACATCTCAAGTGTACAAACGAACAAACACAAAATTAAATTACCTTGTTCTAATGACATCGGTTCGACTCAACTGAGAGTCTGAGGTCACACGTAAAAACCTTTTATGCTCATTATCGGCAACTTCTGTTTTGATTTTGCCTAGTCAGTTCACATGGCCATTTCGGATCGGGTAACTATCTGCTATTCCCTTCATAACATATTCTCGAAATCGTGTACGCTTCATTTACGCGGTGCGTATTTCTATCCTTATTTTCAAAATATTTCCGTTATATATATACATATTTGCATATTCCATACAAAAAATATATGACAAAACTCATATTTATGAATATATTGTAAACCTTTTTCAGAAGTTGGATACAATTGCAACCAATCAAAGAATTTACAATGAAAAGGAATGCCGAACTAGGTAGCAGCGAACGCCCATCTTAGTGCCTTTCCTCGTCGCCCCCTCGCGTACAAGTTTTCTCAAATTAACAAGCACGAAGGAAAATGGCTTTTTATACGCCAAACTTTTTTGAGAACATTTAATTCCACAACAACTCCTGTTTTTATTTCGCAGGAATTTTATTTTTTTTTTAAAAAAAGCATGATGTAATGGAACTACTTGAACGTGTATGCGACTAACCTAAACGTAGCTAATAGTAGAGGACTATCTAAGAATGACTTTTAAAAGAGTCTATTTCACCGTTATCCCACAACCCACCGAATTCTATCCCTGCATATAATTTACTCTATTGAACTATTCATTTCATACAGCAACATTTTGCTAAGACACTTTTTGCCAAAGATATTATCGATTTGACAAAACCGGAGTTAATAACTTATACAGGATATGTAATAAATTGATACTCCAGAACATGAAATATATAATAAGAAACAAGTAATAAAGAGCTAAATTCGAGTGTAACCGAATATTTTAAGTTCTAGCAATATCCAAGGATCATTACTATATTCTGCTTCATGTCCGAAATATTTATATTAAAAACAACCTAATCGACTCACTGAGGAAAAAGTCAACAAGAACAAGTAAGGAAGGGCTAAGTTCGGATGTAACCGAACATTTTATACTCTCGCAAAGTCAAATAGTATACTCGTTTGAGATTTCTTTGTGGATTGGCTGATATTTTCGGTAGAAGGTCAACTATAGGCACTGGGGTCCACATATTTAGTACTTAGGGCTTAAACAGTTTGGTTCATTTAGACAATTTTTGGCCACAAGGTGGCATACTTTAATCGCATTATTCACGCAAAGTTTATCCCGATACAGTCATTGTTGCCTGATTTGCATAGTGGAAAGTGAAATAATCAGATGGAATTTAAAATGGTGTTAATGGAAAGTAGGCGTGGTTGTAAGTCCGATTTCGCCCATTTTCACACTATGACATAAGAAACATT